ACACATATACACATCATGGGGACAGGTCATATATTTGATTTCATTAGTGCCTTTAAACCCACCTATAGAACAGAATTGGGTCAAATACTAAAATTCTTTGAAACCTCAGACGTCAAAAAGGCTCGTGCCTGCTTCAGTACAGTCGTATTTCTTACTACGTAAAAAGGCATTAACTGGAGCTAAAATATTGCTCAGTCAGTATACACATATGAGATAAGAATAATAAAGATAATTGATATGATATTTAAGGAGACAAGGGTAGAGTTGAAATGTGGATGAATTACAATATTTTAAAAGATTATCAAATAAGTGAATTGGTAAATAAGAGAGTATTAAAAGTAGGTCAAGTGTGTTGTCAAAAAAATTGAAATCGTCATAATGATGATTGCAATACGGTAGGCGAAGATGAAGTGAAGTGGAATGAATTCAAGCGGTAAAATAGAATTAAAATTAAACAAAGAACATTACTAAGACTATGGTTAAGACGAAGAGAGAGAGAGAGAGAGAGAAAGAGGTTAAACAAAATATTTTTGAATACACAGCTTAGATTTTTATCCACGTAAAGTTTTAGAGTGATTCAATTTGCCTCCGTGAGTAACTTTAATGGATCAATGGCACGGGGTTTTTCAAAAATTATTCCCTATTACTTTGATCCCACTCTGATAATCGAGTTTTAGAATAAAGGTTTATTTTTTAATTCAATTCTACATTTTCCCGTCGATTGATTGGACATGTTGGCTCCTCGTACAGATGCTTCGACAATGTCTGGGCATGTAATTAGAAATTGATTGGTGGATGGTGACTAGAAGTGGAATCCAGAACAATTCGCATTTCGTCCTATTTGGGACTCGTCATCCGGATGTGCCTGAATTCCCCAGTGAGTGATGATGTTCCCAGCACCGAGGCTCGAACCCAGTGCGCATAGTTTCAGGCACCGAAGCGTTATCCACTAGAACACTTGAACCACTGATACTGACCAACCACCAATTGACTTCAAGTTACATAACCAGACATCGCCGAAACATCTGCACAAGGAGCCAACATGTCAACCTGAGACCGAGCACTTCGATCCAATCAATCAATCGACGGGAAAATCTAAAATTCAATTAAATCATTAATATGACCAGTTACACAAGAGGTGACTCTCGTGGCCCATGTGGTCTAGTGGATAAAGCTTTGGTGTTTGAGACTATGCACACTGGGTTTGAGCCTCGGTGGGAACACCATCACCCAGTGGGAAGTGTAGGTGCATCCCGATGATGAGACTCAAAATGTGCGCTGTCCTAGATTCCGCTGCCAGTCGCCATCCACCAAATGATTTGAAGGTTTCTTCAGCTCAGTAATATCATCAATCCTCACTCTCTTTCTTTGTGAGTGGGTGGCATAGCGCCAGCTCTCACCAACTACTCTGCATGTGGTTCAGGGTACAATTCCCGGCCACAGATGCACTCCTTTACCTCGCTAAGCCAGTGTTAAGACTGGTTAAGAGGAAAGGTTGGGCATGAGACTAGCAACCCCACTAGTTAATTCTTGCCTGACACTATATTCACCACATAAAATACGCGCCAAGTATGGTATCATAGAATGTTTATACTTAGACTTGTGAGCATACAGTTTTCTGAAGTTACCTCTTGTTCTACCTGAGGAGATGGAAAGTGAAAGCTGATAGTAAAGTGGATGCTCCAAGTCAGACAAAATCCCTTTAGCAAATTTATTGCGAGATGTTAACTATGTGGTCCACTGGGACACCACTCACCTTACTGACCGTCTTCAGCATTCTAGCAATTGTGACATTATAAGGGTGAACAATAAAAGAAGAATAGGTAGGATTCAAGAGTTTATAAACTGTAAGAGGAGGCGTTGGTTGAGTTATACCCGAGTGCCTTAACTTCTTAATGTAAAATGTCAGGCGTAATATTTTTCTAGAGATCGCTAAGACATGGGAAGACTAGGAGAGATCAGAAGAGAGAATAAGTCCAAGATACCTAATTTCTGATTTAATTCCCCTATATCACTCTCGTCAATCTTACAACAGTCATGAGAATCGACGGCTTCTTTTAACTGTCTTTTACATCTTAAGCTGAAATTAATAGTTTCACATTTACAAGGATTCAGTTTAAGGCCATTAGACGAAGACCATTTGATAATTCCTGAAAGAAAGTTGTTCATCTTAGTACAGTCTAACTGGGAGTTAACAGCCATTGAAACTGTTAAATCATCAGCGTATTTCACAAAGTTTATTTCATCAGACTGAGGCAAGTGATGTAAGAAGAAAGGAAAAAGAAAAGGAAAGAAAAACATTCTTCTCACAACGCTGTGAGTAGTCTTCTGAAATGCTTCATCGATCTACAGAAGTTTGAATTCATGGGCGCTAATCCATTACCTGGATTTTGTCATAACCCAGAACTCGTACAAGATAAAACAAACAAAAAGCAATTTCTAACAAAGCAACATATTCCTTTTAAGTGTCTGCCTCTACCTTTTCTTTTTGATGTTTAGCTTATCTAACGTGTAATATAAAGACACAAAACGCAAAGACACATAGTTTTGTATCATTTATGTAAAATAGGTTATGATAGCGGCTTAAAAATGTAATTCTTTAACCTACCTACACTACACGATAAATTACAATAGAGGAGGCAAAGAGAAAGTGCAATCGGGCTTTTCCTTGTCTATATTTATTCCTGTATCAGCGTGTGTGTGTGTGTGTTGCGGAGGGGCTTGTCTGTGCGCTCAAGCGTGGGTGTGTGCGTGTGTGTGACTGTGGCTCCAGAAACTCTCTCTCTTTGTCTCTTGTTTGTGTAACTATAGTCACAAAAATCATATCACCCATCTTTTCTGATGCCAGTTACTAAAGCAATTCAGCATATATTTATCATGTATTTATTTATTTATTATTTTTTATTTACTCAGTATAAAATTAACATAATTATCCCAGTACTTTTTTGTTGATTTCAGAAATGTTCTTTTATTCACTATTGAAATAATAATAATAGTAATAACAATGATAGGCGTGATGTCTAGTAGATGATGGTTGAATGTGAAGGTGCAGACGAAGTTGTAGTCATGGCGGGATTCGAATGGAGTAAAGTGATCTATCAATCAGTTGAATTATCAATTCCAACTGTTAACCACACGCCATGTCACTCCACTGTATTGATCACAAGTAATTACAACACAGTTATCAGTTGGATCTCGTCATTGAACTAGTAAAGAACTAGGTTAGTAATCTGGAGTCCCCTGGTTCGAATCCTGCTATGGCTGATAATCTTACCACATATGCAGTCATCACTGATGAAACTGGTCCCTGAGAATTACCCCATCATTTTAAGCCTAAAATGTTTTAAAATACTGATGTGGACACACTTTTAATCTTAAGGTCACTTTAAATTCTTGTCTGTGTATTACAAAATTAAATGCAGATCGATCGACTGAATCGGTGGTCTACGGTTTCTTCTGTTGTCATTTTTTGTGCCTTATTGACTAGATATTTTCTTGGAGCGTGGTTTAAAATCCCAACCAATAGCTGTCACCTCAACGTGGTGGTCAGGCTTGCATATTGCAGTAATCCAAAGAGTTACAACAGATGGAACTAATGTTTTTTCAGTTCCTACCATGACTGGAAGTTCATTTGGATAACAGTTAGACTTAAATCAGATGTTATTATAGTTTAAGGCGTTTACAGTATGTTGAAGGTCTGAGGATGAAATAGTACTGCTGATGGACAGGACTGACTGACTGACTGGTTTCAACATAGAATTTTGCACATATATGCGGTACTTCAAGTCGTCACACTTTACTCCTTGTAGCACACAAAGCAAGAAAAGAAAGTAAAAAGGAATGAAAAATAGAGCCAGTAAACAGAGGAGTGAGACAAAGGAATAGTAATAACGAAGAACAACATAGTTTCATTGGAAATCATAAGTCACAAGGAGTGGATGTATCTGCGCCATTGAGAGCGACGTGTTTGAGCCATATCACCAATTGTTTCCAACCATTGGTTTTTACCGTCCCGAGGACCCCAACCAGTCAGCCAGCCAGTCTACACCTTCCTACGTGGCTGGCTTAAACTAACTGTTGTGGATTTCATTGACTGATGAAGCCATGTTTTGGTTTGACCACCACTGGCTCTTTTCCCATCTGATCGATCCTATGTCACCTATCATTGCCCGTCGAGAAAGCCGATCAATGGCTAGTCGTGCGTAACACATATCCTAACCATCTCAGTCGATGTAGCTTCACCTCCAACCATATAACCTTAATACTTAACACTTAGTCAGACGACCTCATCAGTAACTTACAGATCACCTAATTTCATGATTACTCATCATCACAGTGCTCGATCTAACTTGAACAACTGAACCAATACAGCTATGGTTAGATAAAACACTGTAGTCTGTTAATTTCCTCTATTTGCAATTGTAAATGTCTTGCAGATATCATTCAGTGAAGCAAGTGAACTCCCGTACACTGTACACATCCTCTAATGTATAACCATATCAGTAGAATGGGATGCTTTCCAGGATCCCACGGTTTTCAACGATTCTCTCCAAATCAATGGACCGCTTGTAAAACAACACTTGAAGATTAATCTAGCCACAACTAATGATTGACTGCAGGATGAAGTTGCCTAAAATCCCAGGAACAGCTCCACCAAGATGGATGTGATGACAAAAACCCGTTGATGACACCAACTGCTGATCGCACCATATATCGTTAATTCACAGAAGTTAGAATTCATCACCGGCCATTGGGTGCCATTCCATAGTCAATGAGCTTGCCTTGTACCCTGGAGGTCCTAGGTTCAATCCCTGAATATATACTGTTAAAGAGGTCCAAAGGAGGACGAAACAGCTGTCCAACACCGATCGGTGGTTTTCAATGCTTCTCTAGATGAATTGAGTTTGTGTTCAAAATTAAAATCAATCAGTTGTCTGAGAACCATCACTTGTAATACAAACTATTGTTAGCACAAAATATTTTTAAAAATTGTCGCGTACAAAAAGAAATATGATCGTTATTTACCTGTCCCCTTGTCGTTGTCGGTTGTAATGCATTAGGCGTACAACAGACTGTCATATGTGCTGGTGGTATCCGACGTCTTGCCTCACTAACTTCTTCTATTGTTTTCAATCCATTTGGCGAGGAAATGACAACAGGACAATTGGCTGTATTAGCAAGGAAGATGATTTTTTCAATTGATTTTAATTCCAACTAATATTTGGGAAGAAAAAGAGAAGTAAAGCAAAGTAGAAAGAGGAGACAAAATAATTTTGAAGAAAATTTACATCGATTAATACTTTATGTGATAAAAGTTATTATTTTAACTTTGATCACGGATTAATATCAGTTAGAGGACCAAAGTAAGCCAGGGAGTACTGAAAAGTTGCTTCGTCCTAGTTTGGGATCCATCGAAAGTACACACCCGCCGCCAGGGTTTGAACCCAGTACTCCCTGCTGGTTTTCAATGGTTCTCGGACTAACATTAATCCGTGACCAAACTTGGTAAACAAATCAAACCCTTACAAACAAACTCATGAAAAGTTGTTATGTAATAAAACATAAATTATTCGGTATCCCTCACTGGATATCCAACTAGAAAAGATAAGCAACATAGAACTGTCACTTCAGCAAACCAGCAGAGAACCTATTGCCCAAAAAATATTCATTAAGAAGTAGAGATGAGGTGAACATACCCTATGGAAACATCCAAGTGACGTGGCTTCTCAGGCTTTCTTGGGTGGAATCCTAATAGGATAGGAGACTGTAGGTGAAATAGAAAAGATTATGCAGCGAGGTTATAAACATTTGTGGGTAGTTGTAGAGCTAGCTGAGTGTGATGAAAGAGGTGTGGCGAAGGCTCTGTCTTCCACTTAGAAGACAAACAGCCAACGTATTACCATTCATTTATTATTTATTTTATTCCCATGTGGTCTGTTAATGGAACATAGGACTTCAAACATGGAGGTTTTAAGTTTCAGTAGCAGTGGGATAAGATTGCCAGTCCCATGCCCAACCGTCCCTTTTATTCTAGTGTACTATCAGCTAAGCAAGGCTGAAGAGTGTATCGGCAGGGGGTCGGACGACGGATTGGTGAGAACTCCACCGCTAAACCACTGACTCACCAGAGCGCTCCCCTGCCATTTGAATGGAAGCTATAAAGCCTGAACATTCACTTATGCGGTCTGATCGCATTCATACATAATTTCTCAGTATAGGTGAAGTTTTGTTTTTTAGGAAAATGATACTTAGAACTCCGTCTTAACTGACAGTTACTGTGGAGCAAATATTTATTACATAAAACAACAATAAAAAGAGGTAATTTATCAGAAACTTTGTGTGTCACGAAAAGGATTTCCAACAAGCTAGTTTTTTTTATCCTTTACGTTCCCCAGTGGAACATAGGGCTTCAAGCTAGAGGCTTGAAGTTTCTGTAGCAGTGTTTATTTTACAGGATGGGGTTACTAGCCTCATGCCCAACCTTTCCTCTTCACCAGCATTATTTCTGGCTTAGTGAGGTAAAGGGGTGCGTCGGCCGGGGATCGAACCCCGGACCACGTGCATGGTTGGCGAGCGTCCTAACCGCTATGACACCGACGCCCAACAAGCTAGTGGCAGACTTTTATCAACAGCTGACACCTTGGCTGGCTGGCTCCATGCTGAAGATCAAATCTCCAGAAAGAATTGGCAGAAAGAAACTCTGGCTGGGAACAAACCAACCAAGAGCCGATTACTAAACAGAAATGTAGGAGGAAACGAAGATAGATTGATCGGGTATACGTTGAGGAAGCAGGCCGTCGAACAATATCGTGCGCAATGCAGACCATCGCTCGATAGGAATCCAAATGGGGAATCGAACGCAGCAGATGTGCGTGCCTGGCAAGGTCTTTACCACTGAAACACAATCTCAATAGGCGGTCTGCAGCTTGTTTAAATTAAGTTATCAACCCTATTTAGGCGTTATTTCGGCTACCTGATTTCACTATTAGAAGAGAAACATCCGTTTAAATCTTAACTAGCGTCACTCATTTTCATTCATAAATTGACATTAGGCACTGGAATGTAACCAAATGTCTACTGGTGACTACCTTATAAACTTTTAAATTATTCCTGCCTAATAGTTAACTTCCTTGTTAAATATCCCTTAATTAAATTATCCAGGTCATATTTTTTGCATAATATAGATTTTCTATCGTTGGTTTTTAAGGATTAGTTTTGCTTTTACGAGTTGATCATGGATTGATATCAGTTGGAGAACCATTGAAAACAAGCAGGCAGCACTGGACAGCTGTTTCATCTTAGTTTGGGAATCATCGTGACTGAATGGTATACGAGCCAGTTTTCCTTGTAACCGGAACGACCTGTGTTCGAACCCCACTGTGGTGGGTGCGTACTGTCGATGATTCCCAAACTAGGATGAAACAGCTGGCTGTCCAGTTTTCCAGTACTGGTTTACAATGGTTATCTAACTGATATCAATCCATGATCAACTCATAAAAAAAACATAATATAAATCACAATTTGTTAATTTTATTTTGATATCAATTCACTGACTACCACTGGAAGAGTAATCCAACTTTCTTTTTCAGTGAGTAGTAATCACTCTGCCATACTGTCAAGCTATACGGTCAATATCTCTATTCCTATTGGTCTGGTTCAATATTTTATCGATCAAATAAACAGTGCTTCAAGTCACTTTTTTCCTCGAGATAACTTATTATGATTTCTGTCTTGAATGAAAAAAATGCTTATCATTTCAAGTTTAAATCCATACCGAAAAGAGATTAAACTTTGAGGAGTCATCAGGTTTTATTTGCAAGTGCTGGTTAGAAGGGATTTGATTAATTTCAATTTAGGTAGTGAAATGATATTTGTCACAAAACCACTGAAAACCACCAGGGAATACTAGACATTTGTTTCGTCCCAGTTTGAGACTCTTCAGTAATGCGTAGTTTGGTGAGCTCATTGACCTTTCAACCACTTGAAGAGATGCCAACAGCCTGTCAATTCTAACTTCTTCCGATTCACGGTATTTACATCCGCTGCTCGTTAATGCCATTCCTGAGTATTGGTCCTCATACCCAACTTCGTAAGTCTCATTGGTCACGACATCCCACTAGCACTATTTGCAGCCCCTCCTTTAATTAATATTTTTCTCTGAGCTGGTTGGCTTAGTTGCGGAGCTTTCGTCGTCCTTCTGGACAACATCTTCAGCGCAATTTTTAGCATAAAGTGAACTGATTTAAATTTCTTCATGAGTGATATAATTGCGTCTCCTGGTGACCATCTTTACAATGTATTGACCATTTTCTATTGACTTGGATTTTAAACTTTCTTGTCACCTGATTTACTTTTATTAGTTGATATATTTCGTCTATATTAACGTGTTTGTTAATTGCATTTTCGTTTGAGTACCAGGCTTCAAGGAATTCCCTGGCACTTTTGGTGTTTCCCCTGTATAAGATTTTGACATTATCCCAAATCAAATTGATGACCATAATTATCTATATGCATTGAAATGAAAGAATATATACGGTGTCTTTTCACGGCTGATTTGTGTTCTTGGATTCTAATTCGAAGGGGACGCCCACTTTGGCCGATGTAATGCTTGTTACAGTTCATACAATTTATTTTGTAAATTGTATTAATTTTATCCACTTTTTCTGTTGGATCTTTCGGTTTGCATAGTATCGAATTAAGCGATTTGACTGGCTTGTGTGCTATATCTATAGCAAACGGTTTCAGTATTCTAGCTGTTATTTCAGAGATATTTCTCATGTATGGTAGGATGCATTTTCTTGTGGTCTTTGATGATGGTTTCTTGTTGTTGGTGTTTGGATTCGACTTTAAACACTTTTGATGAAATTTTGTGGATAACCATACCTTTTGAAGACCGTTTGTGGGTATTTTTCTTCCATTCTGTTCAACACAGGTGTAGTGCTACAATGTGTTTGAACTCTTTTAAACAATGTCTGCACACAGTTTCGTTTGTGAAACAGTTTGATATTTCAAAATCCCCTCCTGTTGTCAATGATTAGTGATAGCTAGATTAAGTTTCAAGCGTTGGTTTGCAGGGGTTTTATTGATTCCTATTGTGGTCATGAACCATTGAAAACCTCCAAGGGGTAATGGACAGTTGTTTTTTCCCAGTAGCTGAATGGTCAATAAGCTCGCCTTGTAACCTTAAGGTCCTGAGTGAAATATTTGTGTGTGTTGGGGGATCAGTGTTAGAATGCTCACAAACTCTCACTGGGTGGGAGTTCGATACCCTAGCAAGATACTTCTAAACATTGCTAAGCTGGTAGCAACTTCGATAAAGGGAGAAGGTTGGGTGTGAGGCTGCAGACCACGCCTACAAAAAAGACACCACCGTTGCTGAAACTCCAAAGCCCACGCTTGAAGCCCTGTGGTCAAATGGAAGAGCAAAGGAGTGAATTCATTGCCAGAAATGGCTGATAGATGGTTCATAAAATTAACCTTGAGAATAGGATTGGTTCATATAAGTTACGTCATTACAGGAAACTTGATAAATTTGTTGATTGGTTCTGCCGAAGTTCCCGGGTTTATTCATCTCCTCATTTATTAGATTTTGTTGTTGTTTTAGATAAATTTATGCTGTTGAATGAATAATTCCAATTACTGATTGACTTCGCCGCCTCACGGTGACAGTGTTAATATTATCATTGTCTCCTTTAATTCCTAGAGGAACATAGGGCTTCAGCCGTGCGTCTCCATTGCGTTCGGTTCTCTGCTAAAGTCTTCACCTGGCTCCATGTCTGCCCACACATTTTCATCTCTTCTTCACATGACCTCCTCCAAGTCACCCTCGCACGGACGACCAACTCGCCGCTTCCCTTTCGGGTTCCACTCGAGCGATGGCTTGTCTAGTGATGTCACTTGATGGTTTGTTTTCTCAGAGTATGGCCAATCCATCTCCATTTCTTCCTGCCTATTTGTTTCACAATCGGTTCCTGCTCATTTGGTTCGCTGCCAGAGATCTCTATTGCTGATCTCTTCTGGCCGGCCATCTGATCTTGAGTACTGAGCGAAGACAACTGTTAATGAAGGTCTGTAGTTTGTTTAAGATGCTCTTCATGACGCGTCAAAACTCTGATCTGTATACTAGCACTGACTTCACATTGGAGTTGAAAATCCGGACCTTATTATCATTTTCATGCTGAGTACTGTTGATCTCCACACAGGCTTGAGAGTAG